ATATGTGGTAGTTTTTGACGGTGTAACTTTACAAATGGCACCCCATAGGAGTGACTCATAGGTGTGTGTTGAGGGGGGCATCAATGAAGAGGGTTATGTTAGGTGATGAAAATGCAGCAGACCAGGAAAGAGGAATCTGTGGATCTGTTTGCTGTGAAGACAGTCAACTAAAACAGCAAATCTTAAAGGGCTGCTCCTTCAAACACCTTATTATAAAAAGTCAGGCAATAATAATGAGTTTCTTCATTCCTAACCCCACACAGAGTCACACTATAATGCCAGTGAACTGTTTCATAATGATTCACGCTGAGGAATGCGCCAGCAAGAAAAGCTTTTGGTTAAAAAAAATGCAAATGAGTTATAGTTTTGTTTCCAAAAAAAGCCACAAAAATATATTTCTCATATAAGAATTCACCATGTGCTGTGAACTTGAAAGATAAGGTTATCAGATGGAGCTGCTGACACCACTGTGTGTGTGTGTTGCTGTGTCTTTCAATCCTCACAGACCCCGAGCTCCGTGCCTCACACTAATTGGCTGCATCTCAATCGTAACAAATCAAAATGCCAGCAGAGGAGCTCAGCTGCTGACAAACAGGCTGCATGGGAGGAAGCAGAGAGAACAAACAGGTAGCGCTTCCTGTGCAGCGGCTCCGTGTCAAACGTGTCTGTGGAAGGAGACGAGCAAGGCAGACAAACAGACGAAGAGTGAGAAATAATGAAGGGAAACAAAAGTTTGCTCTTTAAAACTCAGAAATAATCACTGGGTAGAAAAAAAAGTTTTAAAGCGGACATGTTTTTTGTGTTTGGCCAAACTTTGACGTAAATGTTATATTTATGTAATAAACAAAACAAAACTGATTAAGTTTTGGAGTCAACTAAAGTCAAGATGGCCACCACAGCTGAAACATATTTTTGGCACAAATGGAACTCCATAGAAGGGCTCTAATTAATTTATCACTTACTGTGATTATGTTCCATTTAGAGTCGAGGGTGTTGAGATCTGTAAAGTCAGCGAGGTGAAGTTTTTGGGTGTCATTAATGAAGACCTGACATCGAGACCTCATATAAACTACTTAAGAACAAAAATAGCCAAATTTATTGCAGTACTTTATACTCTCAATTGAGCAGAACAACTTTTTTTGTATCAAACTGCTTTAAAGCATTCTGACTGGCTCAGAGTTACAAAAATCCCTCTGAAAAGCCATCATTTTTTTTCTGCAAAACTGGTTGTTCATGATAAAAATCACTTTAATGTTTCATAACTATCATTTTTTTTCTGTGAAAACAACTATTTAGACCTTTTCATGAAAAAAAAGACCATGTTGAGAAAAGCAGGCAGCACTCAACAGCCTGGAATGTCTTATTTCTATGGAGTGTGTGTCTGTCACACTGAAAGGACGCTCTTAGTCATCAGTTAAATCGTTCCTCATTTAGGATAATGCAGGTTAAATGACTACACCTGTAATTTCACTGATGTTGCTGTTTAAAATGTCAGCTGTCAGCTTCGAATGTTTGATGAGTGATGTGAACACTTATTGGCTGATGTGAGCTGTTCTGTTCAGGAAACTTAACACCTCTCTCACAGTAAATGAGCTGAATTTATTGTCTCAGTGTTTTACAGTTCAAGGCAGATCCAATGGTTCGTAAAAAGAACAGACACTTCAAAGTAAACTGGTGGAAACTGGAGATCCAACCGCAGACCTTCCTGTTGGTTACAAACCTCTTGAGTCACAGCCGGCGTGGTCATAAAACCATTTTATCCACAGGTCTGTTCTTCATTTGATGCCTTTCATCTGTGTGTGATGTCTCAGTGGGGGTGGGGGGTGGGGGTATTTTGGAACGATGTCATTCCCTCCACTTTACTACTTGCCTGCAGAATTCACCGGATTTGAGATTACATTGTTGAGCTGAAAGGAAGCAACAGGGGCAAACTCCGTACACCTACGAGTGAACATGAGTCATCGTAGCCTTAGAAATCAGGGGGGCTCCATCGCCTGAGGGGAGCTCAGAGTAGAGCTGCTGTTCCTTKGCATCAAATGAGGCAGTTAAGGTGGGTCAGGCATCTGACTGGACACCTTCCTTTATGTCATGTCCCACTGGTAATAGACCCCAGGGCAGACCCAAAACTCGCTCGAGAGACTGTGTATCCTCTCTGGCCTGGAACACCATGGGGTTCCCGAGGTTAAGCTGAGGTTCTTCTTCCATATTTTCAGTTACAGGCTGAGTCATTTCTACCTTCTCCTCTCTGTCAAAGCTCTCTGGCCGGGGTAGTTGCCGGGTTCCGGGGGGTGCACTTGGTCGTTAGCGGTATGGTGGGGTGGTCATGAGTGTGGCTTCTCTGCGGCGGGGGTCTGGCTGGGCGTCCTGGTGCGGCCCAGGCCGGGCCTTGGCTATCTGCTCCTCTCCACCTCAGAATGATTGGGTCTACCTCCTGGGTTCGGGTGTGTGCTGCCTCCAATAGGGGGTGGGTGCATGTCCTGGACCTGGGGGGTATAGAGTGTGTATCGGGGGTATGAGTGGAATGTGGCGTCCTTGTATGTCTTTGATTGAGTGGGGGTGCGGGATGGTGCCTCGTGTCTTGGGGGTTGGGTCTCCGGTCCTCCATAGTCACTATTAAATATTCCATTGGAGAAATCTTGTATATACACGCATGTTCACAACCGCTCACAAACAGGTGCTCTGATCCAGGGGGTTCTGACTGGTCACTGAGTGTGTGTGTGTATATAGTATGTCTG